CTAGGGGAGAGGGACCTGTCTGATCAGAGCACACGGGAGCAAATGAAGGGGGAGGAAGAGAGAGTGGAGCACATCCTGGCCCACCAGGCCTGGAGGACGATATCCCCGCTCCGAACAGCCAATGCACAGCAGACCAAATGGCTGATCCCACTATAAGACATGATGTCCCTCGCTGACCTATGGCCCTATGGGGGACAACACTGGAGACTCAGTGTCAGGATTGGCCTGGTCTGACCCCACCACACCGAGGCAAAAACGCTAAGGGCATGAGGCAGAGCAATGTGGGGGCTGGGGGGGAGGAGCAGAGTAGGGAGTTCCCCAGGGAGTGCAAAGGGTAGACTTTGGGGCCAGAGCATGGCACCCCATCGGACTCAACTGGAGGACAAGCCTAGAAGTCAAAAATCAGACCTTGATCTATTTACAGGCTTTTCTTCTTCTTCTTTAATTTTAAAAATTAATTTATCCTTTTCCGGGTCATTGGTTTTCTTTGTTGTTGTCATTGTTGTGTTCTCCTTTGTCACTTTGTCTTGCTATGCTTTGTTTTTGGTGCATATTATTTTCTCTGAAGATCTATCTAGATAAGATAGGCTGGATGAACTTTGGAGGAGAAAACAATGGGACCCATGGTTCCGGGGGGGACATGGGAGAGGGGGAGGCGAGGGAAAGGAGGTGGTGTTGATCAACCCAGGGACGAGCGAGCAACAAGTGATCGAAAATTAGTGGCAAGGAGTGGCAAATTAGTAGAATAAGTAACATCATGATAAATGGACAAAAGATTGAAGCTGTCAAGGATTTGGGTATGTTTGTAATGTTGATGGAAGCAACAGTTAAGACATCAAATGATGCATCGCATTGGGTAACTCTGCTATGCAAGATCTCTCTAGAGTGTTGAAAAGCAGGGACGTTACTTTGAGGACTAAGGTGTGCCTGACTCAAGTCATGGTGTTTTCAATGGCCTCATAGATATATGAAAGTTGGACCTGGAATAAGGAAGACCAAAGAAAAATTGCTCCATTTGAATTATGGTGTTGGCAAAAACATATTGAACATATCACGATGGCCAAAACAACAAACAGATCTTTCTTGGAAGAAATAGTCATCATGCCCCTTAGAAGCAAGGATCGCGAGACGTTTTCTCATGTATTTTGGACATGTTGTCCCTGGAGACCAGTCCCTGGAGAAGATACTTGGTAAAGTGGAGGGGCAGCAAAAAAAAGAGGAGGACCCTGAACAGGATGGATCGACGCAGTGGCTGCACCAATGAGCTCAAACGTAAGAACAACGGCGAAGCTGGCGCAGGACGGGGTGGTGTTTCCTTATTGTCCACAGGGTCCTTCTGAATTGGAGCCAATCCAATGGGACCTAACAACAACCATTTACCTTTCTTGCCTTATAGCTCTGGCTCCGATTTCCAGCACAATACTGAATAGCAATGGTAACAAACTGCTTCTTGCCCTCTTTTGTTCAAAAGGAGAATGTTTTCAGTTTTTCTGCACTGACAGCAGTGTTGGCTGTTGGTTTTGTACGTATGCTTTCGATCGTGGTGAGGAATTTCCCTTTTATTATTTCGTTGTTTTTATCAGGTTTGTATGTTGGGTTTTGTCAAATGCCTTAACAAAAGGCTTTTATTAAACAAAATATCGATCTGTGAAGCTATTGTTTTTGACATAGTCTCCATCTAGGTCTGTACTCTTCTGAAGGTAGTTTTTCCATCCCTTTAATGCCTCTCTGCTGAATTTCAAGCTTTCTGATTTATATCGCAGAACATGGCAGTTTTGGCACCCTTGCTGAATATTTAAGAATGAAAAGCAGTCTGAAAGGACATGAGCAGGCTGTAGAGTGCATGGGCTACCGTTTTCTTTTTCTTTTTTTACTAAATAATCATTTTATTAGGGGCTCATACAACCCATCACAATCCGTACATACATCATTTGTGTCCAGCACAAGGCTACAGTTTTCTAATGACATTCTTGCAGGACAACCTTTGCCGCCCTTGAAGAAGGAATAGATGTATTGCTACAATCAGAAAAAACAATCCTCAGCACAATTTCCTGGCCTTTTACTCACTACTGTAGTTTTCACTTTTCATAAAACTTCATAGTGATCCCCCATGTTCAGATTACCCCCCTTGGAAGACACACAGAGTGTGTATGGCATCTGTGTTTTGCATAATTAATCAGACAGCCCATTTGAATAATCATATAACATATGAAAATTGAGAAGCAGGATGATTTTGTATAGACACCACTGTGAGGTATGATACCTGCTTCATATCATTGATTTTATTTTTGTGAAAAAACATTTGAATACCGCACCTGAAGAGCCTAATTTTTATTTTTTAGAAACTAACTTTTAAGGCAGTCAACTTCATGCCATTTTGGAAGATGACAGCAGGAATTGAATTACTCTTATTTTCCACGTGGACATTGTGGGTTCACTCCTTCAGTTCTAAAAAGGAAAACTACATTGTGTTTTATCCATTGTGACTTTTGTCCTCAGGAGGGCAGGGCAAACACTCTGAGAAGTCCTGCCCTCAGGTTGAGTGGCTCTATCCCTAATTCCTAGATCACGATGTATTATGTTGTGGCACTGAAAACTGTTATTTGCAAATATTACTGTTACCATTTATAAATACGGGCACACAGTTCTGTCTTTTGAAAACAACTATCCACCTACAAAAGATGCCTTGATAAAAACAGCTCTGGCTTGACTCTTCATTTTAAGTGATGAGTGTGTGCAAGATGACAAGATGATAAGTCCACAATGCACTGTGGATACAGACCTGTTTTTACACGCTGTTAAAACACAGGGTACTATGAAGCAATGTTTGCAAAACATGCAAACATCTGTATTTGGAAAAAATAAAATAGCCCTTTTTAAAAAAAGATACTTTTATTGGGGGCTCTTAGATCTCTTATCATAATCCATACATTCCTCCAGTGTGTCAAACACATTTGCTGCCATCATCATTTTCAAAGCATTCTCTTCCCACTTGAGCCCCTGATATCCGCTCTCCTAAAATAGCCTTTTGTTGCTTAAAAAAAAGATTAGCCCTTTGGCATCCCTAAAAAGTTAACATAACCTTTTTTTTTTTGCTTTTTTTGTGTGAATTAGATGTAAATTTACAGAGCAGATCACAGTTGTATACACTCAGCAATTCCTTCACAATCTAATTCAACTCATTCAATGCGATCCCCTTATTCTACTATCTCCTTGTTTTCTTTTTCCATTCTTCCTCCTTTCCTTGCCCTCTAAACTTTGTCCTGGGGTAAATGCTGCTTTTCCTACCTTAGATATTGATTGTTCTAACATGGATGTGAGTTCGGTTCCAGATCTGAAGGAGGAGGGCCATAATCTTAGGGTCCCACCAATCTCTCTCTGTCATGGTCTCTTTTATGATTTTAAGTTCTGTTCCACAGTTTTCTCCCAGGACTTTCAAATGTGACTGAAAGCAGTTCGTAGTGGTGGCAGGCACCACCGATTTCTTCTGCTTTCAAGGTAAGTCCTACTACATATTTGTTTTATAAAATCAGCACTTTTTCTGTGATATTTAGTGAACAAAATGTTTTTATTAGTTCGCATATGCATGTGCAAATATAACATCTGAAAGAATATACATCACAATTATCACAAAGGTTAGTTTGGGGAAGGAAGATGTTGATAGTAACAATAGTCAAAACAATGAAGCAGATGTCAGCTTTATCTGTAATGCTCAAATGTTTGAGCTCTGTATTGTTTATAATTATGGCTCCCCTTTAATTCTTGAAATTTTTATTGGATGAAAACTCTTTATAATTATAATAACAATGAAAAAGCAATAAAAGCCCAGAAGTTTTATAATATTCATTCATTCAAGTGAATTAATATTAATGGTGGTCCTAGTATATACTAAAACCGAACCAACCCAACGTTCAATAATGAATTACTTCTCACCACCTAAGTGCCTGTGGAAGAAAGTCTGCAGTTGCTTCCATGCATCCACCTGGGCCATGGCATGAGCCCTGGTCTCCCCTCCCCAGATGACCGGCCTGCCCACCAAGCTGTGCAGGGAAGCTGGGCACAAGGGGATGTAAGGAGGCTCAATATAATGCCCAGTCCTTGGGTAACAGATGATCTGGGGCTTTTCCTTACCATGGGCCTGTAAGCGTTTAGACGCCTCATTAGCGTAGAACTCACTCTTCCAGTTGTGGTCATCCAGACCAACAAGGAACAGGAAGCTACACTCAGCCCTTTCCACGGGAATGACGCTCTTCTGGTCAGGTCCTTCAGTTGGGTTGTTGAGGGCATCTATGATGTCTACAAGGCCATCTTTGACCACCTTGATCCCATGATAGTTGATACCCACAGGGGGCAAGATCTCATCTTTGTAGTATAACTCCCCCCCTACATTGACCACGGAGCCGTTGATTATGGTGGCAGCTGTGATGCCCTTCAAGAATGAAGCCATGGAGATGCAGAGTTCGCCCCCTTTTGAATGTCCGAGCAGCCCAATTCCTGGACCTTTCACCTGAGAAAGGGACAGAAGCAAGAGAAGGAGAGTGAGTCCATGAACAGTGTCATGTGGTGGGGATTTGCTAGTCTTGGAAATCAGGTGGTCTAAAGTCTGAATTTGGATTCTATCACTTACCAAGGTTTGCAACTATGGGAAATCTACTTCTTTTTCTTCCCTATCTTCCTCTCTACAATTTCTCCTTCATTGTTCTTGGTGACTTCAGCATGGATGATATGCCAAACACCTTGATTGTCAGTGTCTTGATCTCTACTCCACCTCAGCCACTCATTGTCACTGTCCTATCCTAAACTTAGTCATCGGCAATAACTACATCATCTCCAGAATCTCACCTTCAAGCATTCCAGCCTCTGACCCCTATCTTCAATACTTCCAGCATAGTCATTGTGATACCATCCATTCCAGCAATGTTTCTATCTTTGAGACCTTAATTAACATTTTCCCACTTTTGATACCTCCCTCTTATTTTTAACTTCCCTCCTCATCTAGCTTAGATTTCATAATTTATCATTCTAGTCACTCCCTTGAAAACACTTTACGTTATTTAATATATCTCTTCCTTTGGCCGTCTTTGCCTGGAAAAGTGCTGACCAACTGGAGTTCACTCCACTACTTCCTCCATGGCTGGGATGGACAAATATACATTTGTGCTGATACATCTTATTTTCTTTCTGTGATGACAAATTTCAAATGTGCACCCTCGCTGTCCATCAATCCTATCACTCCACTGTTAACGTTTGCTTTCCACTTCTCAAAAAAAAAATTTTTTTACACTTTCTCAAATTCCTTTAACCTGAATCCCTCCACCTTTCAGCTCCTCATGCTTCATTAAGAAAATATAAGCTAAGAAGTAGAAACGTTTCCTCATTTTCCACTGCCAAACCTACCCACGTTCACATGAACTCAAGCACTCTGTCTTCCTTCGTGTATCTAAGAAGTAGCGCTGTTCATATCACAGGTCATTATCACTTGTGGCCTGGATCGCATGCCTCCTGACTTTCTCATGGACATTATTATAGCAGTTACTTTCTCTCTCTCCCGTTCCTAGCTTTTTTCCTATTGGCTCATTCCCCAAAACATATTTATATGCTCTAATACTATTTATATTAATACTCAGAGGCTTCAAAAACTTCAAGGAAATTTTCCATTATCTTTTCATTCCATTTTTCCACAAACTTTTTTAAAGCCTGTCAAGAATAATCCCTTGACCTCCTATCCACTCTACCTACTTCCCTAATTCTCAACCCCATTCCCATTTTTTTTAAGTGTATGGGGTGGGAGTGGGGTTTGTCTGTTACTGCTCTCTTCCTGGTCTTCATCGTCTCTGCAGTACTCTTCAAGGTAGTTCCACCAGCACTACTCTGATCCATTGTGGTGACCTCTGTGTTATAAACAAATGGCCTTTTATAGATTGACATCTCAGGAGTAATCTTTTTTCATCATGGCTTCTCACCCAAAGTACTAGGAATTAGATGATATTATCATCTCAATTTTTTCAAACGAGGAAACCAAGGTCCCAAGGTTACGGAGCTGTGGTTGGGTGCCACGGAGTTAGAGCTGAGGCGCAGGGAGCTCGTGTGCAGCAGAAGGAAACACCGCCTGGGTCCCATGCCAGGCGCACAATGGTGAAGTGTGTGTCCACTGTGGCAGCCAGGCCGACAGTCTCTCTCAGTCAGCATCCTCCTCTTTTGCTGAATCGACTTAACCAACCATCATGTCCTTTACCAGGGAAGGCTTTCTCCTGATTGCATGTCCAAAGCACATGAACCAGTATTACTGTGCATGTCTCTAAGGAGCACACTGCCTGCACTTCTTCCAAGGCAAATAGGTTTGTTCTTCCGGCAGGCAGTCCAGGGCATTTCTAATATTCTTCTTCAACATCATAATTCAAATGTATTGATTCTTCTCCAGTCTTTCACAGTTATTGTCCAGCTTTCACATGCAGATGAAGTGATTATAACTCAATATAAAAAGAATAAGTGATTTATTTTAAAAAATTATTTATTAAAAAAAAAAAAGAACAGCAACAACAAATCCTCCCAACTGGACCAATAGACAACACGGTGATAAATGGAGGAAAAACAGAAGTTGTCACAGGTTTCATTTCACTTGGATCCACAGTCAATACTCATAAAGCAGTCGGCAAGAAGTCAAATGACGTGCTACACTGGGCCAATGTGCAGCACAAGATCTCGTTAAAGTGTTGAAGAGCAAACCTATCACTTTGATGATTAACGTGTGCCTGGGATGTTTTAAATCACCTTATACGCATGTGAAAGTTGGACACTCAATAAGGACCGAAGGCAATTGATGCACTTGGATGATGGTGTTCGTGATGACTCCTGAAAGTAACGGGGAATGTCAGAACAAATCTGTCTTAGAAGTACAGCCAGAATGCTCCTTAGAAGCGAGGATGGCAAGACTGCATCTCATTTATTTTTAATAGGCTATCAAGAAGGGCCAGTCCCTGGAAACGGACAGCATGCTTAGTAAAGTAGGAGCGTCAGTGAAAAAGAGGACCCTCAATGAGATGGACTATAACAATGGGCTAAAAATAACAACATTTGAGCGGATGGTGCAGAACTGAGCAGTGTTTTCTTCTGTTGGATACAGGGTCGCTATGAGTCACAACAGCCTTGCCAGTACCTAAAAAGGTCAACAACAGACCCACTGAATAAGTCTGGTCAAAGGATACAGCTCCGATGTACATCTTTCCAGATTTTAAACCATGCACTATACCCTTGTTCTATTCAAACAACACCCTCTTGGTCTATGTACAGGTTCCACACGAACACAATGAAGTGTTCTGGTATTCTTATTTTTTACAATATTATACATCGTAATTGGTAAAATCAAAACTTAAGTTTACTTTGAGCCTATCTATGCCTTGGCTCCACTGCTGTTGTTAGGTGCCATCAAGTCAACTCCATTCCATCACGCCCCCATGCACCACAGAACTGGAACACTGCAGAGTCTTGTACCATGCTTACAACTGTTCCTCAGCCTGAGCTTAGTGATGCAGCCACTGTGTCAATCCATCTCCCTGAGGGCCTTTCTCTGTTTCACCGTCCTTCCACTTGACCAAACATGATGTCCTTCTCCAGGGACTGGTCTCTCCTGACAATAGTTTCAAAATATGTAAGACAAAGTCTTACCATCCTTGCCTCTAAGGAACAATCTGGTTTTACTTCTTCCAATACAGATCTAGTTGTCCTTTTAGCAGTCTACAGTACTTTCAATATTCCTTTCCAGCACCACCATTCAAAAACGTCCTTATTCAATGTCCAGCTTTTACATGCATTTGATACAGTGGCGAATACGATGGATGGCTGGGGTCAGGCACATCTGAGTCCTCAAAGTAACATCCTTGCTTTCCAATACTCTAAAGAGGTCTTCGGCATCAGATTTACCCAATGCAATCTGTCTTTTGATCCTTTGCTGGTTGTGTCTGTGAGCATTGATTGTGGACCCAAGTAAGACAAAACCCTTGACAGCATCAAACTTTTCTCCATTTATTGTGATGTTACCTTTTGGTCCAGGTGTTAGAATGGTTGGTCTTCCTTACATGAGTTGTAATCCATACTGAAGTCTACAGCCTTTGTTGTTCATCAGCACCTCCGCCTCACTTTCAGCATGTCAGGTGTGTCATCTGCATATGTCAAGTTGTTAATAAGCCTTCCTCGCATCCGGATGCCACATTCTTCTTCATATAATCTCGCTTCTCTGATGATTTGCTCAGCATACAGAATGAAAAAGTATGGTGGGGGCTACAACCCTGATGCACACCTTTCCTGATTAGAAGCCATGCACTCTTCCCTTGCTCTGCTCCCACAATTGCCTCCTGGTCTATGGCCCCACTCTACCCTCCCTATTTCCTGTACTAAAAGTCCTCATGCTTCTTTCCACAGTGAGTTCTGATGATTTAAAAATAAGCAAGCATTGATCTTCCAATTCTCTAATTCTTTAAACCGAAGACACTCCAAATATTCCCTAGGCCCTGGAATCGTTGGGTGCAGAGTGCCTCCTTTAAAATGTACTCTCCTCCTGAGCTCCCACATATTCCGGACCAAGCTGGGAGAAGTCTGCTGAACACAAACATTTCAGCAGAGCCACTGAAGACAGTGATTGTCTTCCTGTCCCCTTGTTCCCTGTACCAAACCCAAGGTCGATGTCTAGGTTCACGATAAGACACGGGAATTTTAAATTCCACAATGCCGGCTAAAGGGGCCCTAGTGGCACAAGGGTTAAGTGCTTGCTTGTGAACTGAGAGGTCTGCAGTTTGACTCCACCCATGGTTCCTCGTCACAGAAGACCTGGTGCTCTGTTCGCATAAAGATTACAGCCCAGAAACCCCTAAGGAACAGTTCTCCTCTGTCATATGGGTTACCGGACAGCACCTAACAGTAACAATACCACTAGGAATAGCTTTACCAGCAGGAACTACAATCATAAATGATGTAGAAACTGTCTATGAGAAGTAGCTACAAAAGCTAGTGTGAACTGTGGCAAGAATGAGCCAAGTCTGTGGGAACCAAGAGCATTAATGTGGGTGAGGCTTGTTACGTAGCACATAAAGCTTAGAGAAGAACCAACCTCAGGGCGACTGAGCAGGTAGTTCACGGCCTCTTCAAAGTACTCCAGGTGCAGGCTCTTAATGGTCTTGGGGAGGTCATCGTAGTTAACATAAGCCAGAGCCATCACTGCAAAACCCTTCCCAGCCAGCAGACTAGCTCGGTACTCCTGAAGGCCACCTCCGATTCCATAAATGTCTATGATCCCAGGATAGGGCCCCGGTCCTTGGGAAGAAACAAAACAGAAGGCTCAGCCTGTCCTGACACACTGTGCAGTGTGTCAAAAGCTACTTTGTTGCTTATTTAGGGATGCCCAAGTTTTCTTTTTTAATCATTTTACTGGGGGCTCATACAGCTCTTATCACAATCCATACAGTCATCCATTGTGTCAAGCACATTTGCATATTTGTTGCCATCATCATTTTCAAAACATTTTGTCTCTGAGCCCTTGGTATCAGCTCCTCACTTTTCCTTCCCTCCCCCACCCTCCCTCATGAACCCTCGATAATTTAACTTTTTTTTTCATGTCTTACACTGACCACTGTCTCCCTTCACCCACTTTTCTGTTATCCGTCACCCTGGGAAGGGGTTATAGGTAGATCATTGTGATCGGTTCCCTCTTTCTCTCCCCACCTTCCCCTTACCCTTCTGGTATGGCTACTCTCAATATTGCTTCCGAGGGGTTTATCTGTCCTGGATTCCCTGTGTTTCTAGCTCTTATGTATACCGGTGTACATGCTCTGGTCTAGTGGGATTTGTAAGGTAGAATAGGGATCATGATAGTGGGGAGGAGGAAGCATTTAAGAACTAGAGGAAAGTTGTATGTTTCATCGTTGCTACACTGCACCCTGACTGGCTTGTCTCCTCCCTATGACCCTTCTGTAAGGGTCTACAGATGGGCTTTGGGTCTGCACTCGGCACTCCCCCTCATTCACATTGATATGATTTTTTAGTTCTGGCTTTTTGATGCCTGATACCTGAATCCATGAACACCTCGTGATCACACAAGCTGGTTTGCTTCTTCCATGTGGACTTTGTTGCTTCTCAGTTAGATGGCCACTTGTTTATCTTCAAACCCAAGTTTTCTATTAACAACCAGAAATGCTGAAAGGCCTCTAGTCTTCAAGCATATAAAGACTGATGAAATCTAAATCCACATTCCTTGTTTGCACCCAGAGCATCAAAGTCCCACAGTTTTACAAAAAAAGCATGTAATAGAAAATAATTTATATAAGCAGTAATAAATCATTGCTCCCTCCCTGTAAAAACACACAATTCCACATGTTAATAAACCTATAGAGCAACTGGTCCTTCATACACTGCTGGTGAAAATGCAAAAGGATACAGCCACTTTTCAAAACAATTGGGTAGTTTCTTGCAAAATTAAACATCTATTTTTCATATGACTAGCAATCCCAACCCTAGGTCTTTACTCAAAGAAAGGAAAACTTGTGTTCACACTAAATTTTGTATTCACATGCTTTAACCATAATTTCCAAAAGACTAGGAATCATCCAAATGTCATTCAACTGTGAATGAATCAGCAAACTGTGCAGATCACACAAAGGTGTCCTACTGAGAAGTAATAAAGTGCTGACACATGTGACCCTGTAATGAACCTGCTGTTGAATTATGCTAAGGAAGGAAGCCAGACCCGAAAAGCCATATAGCATTTTGCATGACTCCATTTATATGATATTGTGGGAAAGGCAAAACTACAGAGGCAAAAAAGATCAGTTTTGCTAGGTGTTATGAGGAGGAGGAGGTGACTATCAAAGGGTTTTAATTAATTTTGCGGTAATGCAATTGCCACATCTTGATTGTAAGTTTGCCAAAATTCAGGACTGTACATGAAAATGAGCTACATATCAGGTCTTGTCCACTAAGGGTGTTCAAGCATAATCTACTATATTAATTAAATCTCATTTAAATAATGTAAAACATAACATTTTCTTGCAGTTGGAAAATAACAGAATATAAGTAATCATTCTTGGTTCTTTTTCTATAAAGGCAGTTTTATTTTGGAAAAAAATTAACCTTTTTTTTTTTTGGATTTGGATCAAAGCAATTAATTAGGTAGGTAGTTCTGCCTACCAGCTAATAAAACGGAGAAGATCAAGGAGGGACTCAAGAGTTCTAACATGTTAGGGGGACAAATAATAGAAATGTAGCTGAAGGAAGACAATGTGTGGTTTAAGATATAAAATAACAATAGTATATATCATTGATTAAGGATTCACAAGAGGGGGGAGAGGCAAAAAGAGGAGCTGATACCAAGGGTTCAAATAGAAAGAAAATGTTTTGGAAATGATGATGGCAACGTATATACAAGTGTGCTTAATACAACTGCGTTATGGATTGTAATATGGGCATGGACATATGCAAATATATTTTTATATTACGATAGGGAAATAGATATATGTTATATAATACTTAATATGTTAAGTATTAAGGTGGCAGATGGACATTGGGCTCTATGCAAGTGCTCCCTCAGTGCAAGAACACTGTTCTAATCACCTGGCATTCTGTGATGCTCACCTTCCCAACACAATCACTAAAGATAAAATAGGTACATAAGCAAATGTGGTGAAGAAAGCTGATGATGCCTGGCTATCAAAAGATATAGTGTCTGGGGTCTTAAAGGCTTGAAGATAAACAAGCAGCCATCTAGCTGAGACGCAACAAAGTCCACATGGAAGAAGCACACCAGCCTGTGTGATCATGACTAGCATTGGACTTATACACTTGATCTGGACAGGGTTGGGATGTTTGCTTCATATATAATTACTTTTTAATATAAAGCTCTCTCTCGCTCTCTTTTTTTTAAAGCTCTCTCTTATACATATATATGAGTGTCACTGGATTTGTTTTTCTAGTCCACCCAGCCTAACACAATATTGGATATATTCTTCTGTTACTTGTTTCACTCAAGACTTTTGAAGGTTCATCCATGTTGATTTGTGTAGCTGTAACTCAATCATAAAAGCCCTGGTGGCATAGTATCTTATGCACTGGGCTGAGAACCTCAAGGTCAGCAGTTCAAAACCACCAGCCACTCTTCAGGTGCAAGATTAAGCTTTCTATTCCGGTAAAGATTTACAGTCTTGGAAGCCCAAAGGGGTAGTTCTAGTCTGTCCTCAAGGGTTGCTATGAATCAGTATTGACTCGATGGCTGTAAATTTGAGGGTAGATCAATCACTTTTGTGGCTATACTATATTTCACTGTGTAAACACCCCTCAGTTTGTTCCTAGAACTAACTGTACTCTGAATAGGCCTTTGGGTGGTTTCCAGTTGTGCTTGCTATTATAAGCAATACTTCAGTGGGCGTTCATGAATATGCCTCTGGTGTGCACGTGGAATGATATATTCAGCTTTCTAAGACAAATGTGTTTCCCAGAGTGGAAGAATAATTATATATTCTTTGTAGCCGTGTATGAATTCCTTTGCCTTACCAAGTTTGAAACAATTGGTATTGTTAGATTGATAACCTTGTGGCACTTCTGAGAGTGTAAAATGGTATCTGGTAGTTTTATTTTGCAGTAAATGTATATATTTTTAGGCAATCCTTTGTTGGCAGTGTGTGGCGAATAAGTTCATTCATATTTGCCTTTTTCCTTTCCTACCATGTCTTTTAACTAATCACTGGAGCCCCCTCCTCAGCAAGTCTTACCTTAAATTCCTGTCTCCCTGACACCTCGGGGTTCTTTATATAGGTCCGTGGAGTTCTGGAATATTGGGAGCTATGTCCTTCTTCTGTAGAGAATATGCTAAACCAAAATCAAATTCTTATTCTATGAAGTCGATTTTGACTCACAGCCATCCGGTAAGACTGGATAGAACTGCCCCCGTGGGTGTGCGATTTACTGGAATAGAAGGCCTCAGCTTTAAACTGCTGACCTTGTAGTTAGCAGCCCACGGGTTAGCCACTACACCGCCAGAGCTCCCTAGCTTATAGGGGGTAAGCTCATGGAAACCCAAAATCGTGAAGGGTCGCTCGCTCACCTGGCGGCAGGAAGAGCGTGGCGCGCACGCGGCCCGCGCGCACGGGCTCCCTCCGCACCCCGGGCCGCAGGAAGTGGCGCTCGTGCACCGCCCGGCCCAGGACCCGCCGCGGCTCGGGCTCGTGGCCCTCGCGCACCTCCAGCTCCACCGCGAAGGGCGTCTGCACGTCCCGCTTGGTGAGCTTCTCGATGGGCTTGTCGGGCTCCAGGGCCCAGATGAGGCCCATGGGCTCGAGCCCCGCGAAGCTGCCGCCCAGCGCGGGCGCGCGCTCCAGGTCCAGCTCGCCGCCGCCGTCCGCGCGGTAGCGCGCGTGGGCCCGGAAGAGCGTCCCCTTCTCGTCGCGCAGGGACGCGCGCAGCGTGACCGGCTGTTCGGGGGCCAGGCCGCGCACCGCGATGCGCACCGGCTCGTCCCAGCAGCAGTGGCCCTCAGGCTCCACGGTCACTGTCGCCGCCATCCTGGCTGGGATCCAAGAAACTGGGCCACCCACCTTCCGCTGTAGAGGCCTTGGCCTCCGCAGCCAGCGCGTCAGGGACAAGCGCAGGGCAGTGGGGACGAAGGCTATCATTTTGTGCCTTGAACTCAGACCTCGCCTGCGGAAAGAGTTAGACTTGGTTCCAAACCCTCGTGTGGCGGGCCCCTGCCCTGCAGCCTGAGCGCCGGAACTCGGAGCGGGCCGAGCTGCGTGTTCCACTGGGCAGGGCAGGCCTGGCTGGTCCGGTGACCCTGGAAGGCACACAGCAGGAGCGAAAACAGACACTGAGACAAAGTCTTATTTAAAACCTGTATGCGTGGGAAGAACGGACCAGTTATTTCTCGCAGCGCTCTTGAGTCGGGCTAGGACTCTCAGGAAGAACTTAGCAAGTAGCAAAGCCTCCAGTTGTCTGGTTCTTGGCATACCGGGTCTGCAGGACCTGGGTTGACTTGCATGAATTGGTTCAGAAAACCACACCAGTTATTATTCATACTGGGAACCATGGTGTGTCGCTTGCCTGTGTGCTTATTCTCCACACTGGTCCCACCCCTGGAGGTCCTAGTGCCTTCCTCCGACTTCATTCCTCACAGGTAAAAAATAGCCCTTATTATGCTGTTAAACTGGGCTCTCGTTTTGCTCTGCGAAGCACATTTGATCTACTTCTCATCCTGGACTTCCCCCTTTTCCCACCTTTCCTAAATGATTTCTTACCTCTAGTGGTGGATTTTCCACAAAGACTGTTTGAGATTCCCTCCAGGGCCTTGTACCTGGCTTTATATTAAAAAATGTGTATCCTTTGTACTAGGAAAACGTGAAAATTAAGGTGCATGCTCCACAAGGAAAAGCCTTTAACGTTTAAAAGCTCCCCGCCCCCCTCGACCCCTCAGCCTTGATGGCATAGTGGTTAAGCACTTAGCTGCTAACCAAACCCAGGGGAGAAAGTTGTGACGGATTACAGCCTTGTTATCCTAAACATTACAGGTCAATATGAGTCAGAATCAACTTGATAGCTGGGTTTTTTCAGTAAAAGCTTTTAAATCTAATGTCTGGCTGGTTATTAATCAGGTAACTCTCCTTAGCTCTAATTACTTTTATTTTGATTTTGTGCGATGCTTTATGGACTATAAGAGTCTCAAGAATGAGACAAAGGTAAACAGTAACACCTCTTTTTGTTTGTTTAATTTCCGAAACTCTTCCATTACCCCAAACAGCAAGTCTAAACCCATTAAGTGATAACTCCCCAGTTCCCTGATAATTGTCACTTCTACCTCTGTGTATTTGTCTATTTTAGAGATTTTATTTAAGTGGAATCATATTTGTGTCTGCCTTACTCACTTAGCATAATGTTTTTAAGGCTCATTCTATTATAGCATGAATCTGAACTTAATGTCTTTTTGTGGTTGAATATATGTCGTTGTAAGTATGTATTCCACATTTTGTTTACTCCTTCCTCTGTTGATGGGCACTCACTTGTTTCCACTTTTAGGCTATTGTGAATAATGCAACAATGAACATTGGTTTTCAAGTATCTGTTGGATCTCAGCTTTCAGTTATTTCGGGATATATACTTGGATCATATGATAATTCTATGTTTAACTTTTCAAAGATGTGTCAAAAGCTTTTCTGCTGTGGCTACACCATTTTACATTCAACAAAAGCAGGTTCCCATTTCTCTACATCCTTGCCAACACTTTGTCATTTTCCATTTTGTTGAGATAATATTTAACTCTTAATCCTTATAAGAACCTCAGGAACAAGATAAGGCTTAAGGAGGTTAACCCAATTGTTGAAGATCACACAACTATGAAGGGGGTTAAATATTTGGTTTTAAGAATGCTTACCAAAAACAATAAAGAATGCTCTAGTTTTAATAGAGGAAAGATTTGAAACTGGAAGTAGACATTTAAATTATGTATACTGGAAGATATGTACCCATTTAAAATGATGCAGTAATTGAATATACAAGGAGAACATTTCATGTGATTGGAGAAAGATATTAATACATGGGGGGAAAAAAAGAGAGACTGGTTTAAAAACTACCCCAAACTCTTGTTTGTTAGGTCTTGGGGTGCTGTGGGTAGTTTCTGTTTTCTTCTTTGTCTAAGATGTCTATGAGGAAGTATACATGATGTTTTAGCATGTCATTTTTCAAAAAGTCTTTCCATGTTTGTCTTCCAGGGTCAGCGCACACAGCCTGAACAAGCACACAGTAACGCCAGTGCTGAGACTCGTCTGAAAGCCAGCCTTTCCTGGAAATGAGCCGGTGACCACCTCAACAGCAGGGCCTGCACCAGCTAGACAGAACCCTATGTCCACGTACCTTTCTTTTAGTTCTTTTCCAGGGGGATGCCTGGACACCCGCATTTCTGTAGGCCTACAAGTTTACTCTCAGAAATGCAGGACCTGAAGAGTGCCCTAGTGGAGATCAGTGGTAGTGACGCCCTGTAGCCAAGTTTTGAGGAGCTGGAGGAGAGTGGAGCTGTGTGGAGGAAGGACATGAAGTTTGGGCTGAGGAGCCCTGTTGGTATAGTGGTTAGGCATTGGGCTGCAGTCCCAAAAGTCAGTGGTTCCAAACCACCAGATACTCTGTGGGAGAAAAAGGGGCTTTCTACTCCTGTAAACAGTTACAGTCTCGGAAACTCACAGTGGAAGCTTTATCCCGCCCCAGAGAATCGCTATGAGTTGGCAGCGATTTGATGGCAGTGAGTAGAGTTTGGGGAAGCGAGAGAAAGACAGACTTATTGCCATTGAGCCCATTTCAACTCAGGGTGACCTAAAGGGCAGAACAGATCTGCCCCTGTGCTTTTCTGAGGCTGTAATCTTTATGGGAGCAGAAAACCTCTTCTTTCTCCCTCCAAGAAGCTGGTAGGTTTGAAATGCTGACCGTAAGCTTAGCAGCCTTATGTGTTACCCACTATGCCACCGAGGCTGCCTGAGGGCTGGATACGCTCTCAGAGATAGACACTTTCCTTCTAGTCTCTTCTTTGTCCTATCTGCCTACTCACCAGGGCAGGGTGCTTCTGTGTTCTCTGCTCTGCGCTTTCTCAGCAGGATTGATGAGCCTGGACAGGTGAAAATAAGAACTGATAGGTGTGGTTGAAAGGGGTGCCAGCCCCTCCCCCAATCCTGGGTTCAATAGACAATTGTACGGTTGAGATATATATTATATTAAAGTTATCGAGAGCATGAGAGATAGAAGAGATGCTGAAATAATGGAGTCAGACACATTTCATGGTAGTATGCTCACCTCAGCCCCGCTTGGTAGTCCACCTAGAGAGAGGGGGAAGGGAAGGAAGACAAGGGGAAAGGCAACAGTGGAGTGAGGATGGGAGAGGAAAGGGGGAACAGACGAGAAGTCAAGGGAGGAACCAAGAGAGAGATCTTTATTGCTAACCCAGGTCTATATATCTTTGGCAGACGAGAGGTCAAGGGAGGAGCCGAGAGAGATCTTTATTGCTAACCCAGGCCTATATATCTTTAGCGGGGAGTGCAAGCCCACTAATTACAGGTAAAGACATACGTCACTGTATGTATGTTGCACTATCGGTTATACAGCAATGAGAGGAGGACAATCTAGGGATAAACACGCAATAGGAAGAGGTGGGATTGAGGGTATACATGTGACGAGATGGGCGGATCCTAGATTCAGGATGGCAGCTTAACTTTGGATGTCACTGAGCTGGTTTGACCTGTTCCCTGGCACCATTATCTGTAGGGTGTAAACTCCACCTACAGGAACCAAATCAATGACTGCAGGCCTCTAGAGAGAAGTAACCCATTGTCCTTAACAGCAGGGAGCATGTCTCTAAGCATCCGACCTCCCCCCATATGCTGGCAAAAAACCCCTAATGTTTGGCATGTCTTTGGGGGAGACAAAGCTGGAGAAAAGTCTTTATAATCCCACAGATAGGCCTTACGTGGAGGTTGTTCTCAAAAGATGACCTAGCATTCTGTTAACCTTCCATTCCATGGATTTCCTTTCCTAACTCAGTTTACAAGGAAACCGGTATAATAACCTGCAGAAGATGGCTCAATGAAAACCATGGATTCTAGGAGCGCACCCATGGAATTTTGAAGAGTTGGTTGCCTGGCGACCAATATAAGCTGCTTTGGAAACCTAACAAACCAAGGAAGGTTTCAGAGGCAGAACCACCCTTCCCTGTGAGGACTTATTTGAAGGAGGCCATTTTGATTGGAATTTCAAAACATGGCTGCTTTATCAGTAGCTGATAGTTTACTCCTGACAGCAGAATGAGAAGAGGCCACCTGGAGTCACTGAAAAGATCCAGAGAGAAAGCAGCAGAAGGATCAGTATTGCTTCAGGTACTAACCCCTATTGTGACCTTAGTCACACCTCTCTCTGGCCTGTGTGGTTTTAGAATCTTTCAAACCAAGGAGTCAGAACAGTGGCCTTTCTGGCTGACAAGATATGCTCCAGAGTCTTCCCAGGAGACAGCACGGTATTTGTGGGCAAAGAATGGAAATAAACCAGATTAGGAAGGAAGGCTGTATTTTCTAATACCATTCTCCCTTCTAACCAAGCTCTCTGCATACACCCCAACGCATACCCCTTGGGGCAGTGGCTCTGCTAAACTAGGCTGGTTCAGCATGCAGGTAGCTGGTTAAGCATGCAGCTCTCTACACCTCATTTGTCATCTCCCAAATGGCAGTCTGGGAGTAGCACAAAGGGAATCTGCATTTTTTTCTAAGCTCCTGGGGTGATCTGGGTGGTCCTTGGGCCAAACTCTAGCAAGCACCACCCCAGAAGCTGCAGAACTTAAGGGTCAGAACCTGTGGTTGGGGGAAGAGTGCATTGTTTTTAAAAAGCTCTCAGAAGGTTCTTGGTGCTAAGGCTTATTGTCTTTAACTCAGTGGCGGCAGCTTTTGCTTTCATAACAAAAAAAAAACCAGGATAACAGTATTCTTCTTTACATATATAAGTAGCATAAACACACATATAACTCGAGTACTGCTCATAGGAAACTAATGTTGGAGAGGGTTATGTAGCATCTAAAAAATTGTATAGCATGCACATTTTCCCCCATAAGAATATGGTGTAATTAACCACTTCTGCAATACAGGTACCAGTCTAGGGAGTGGGCATGGGGAACTAAATTTGAAACCTCTGATATACCACCGATTTTTAGTCAACGTGCTTATGGTCATAAAATAACAGAGGCAGGAGGGTCCTTACTTGAGTTCAACGTCCACATTGTGCAGCTAGTGGTCTAAGAAGTTGATTAGGTTTTTAACTTCAAGTGTGTAGCCTAACCCTTCCAATCCCACCGTGGCCCAACTGTCCAAGCCAAGTTCCTAGAAGTACATCGAAAATGCTGATGGTTGCTGCTTATGGGATTGTACGACCTGGTCTTCTTGGATGCCAGTTCTTCTATTTCTTATGTTGTTGGTGCTCAATAGTTGACCTTCTGCTTATCAGCAGAGCACTGAACCACTCGCAGTTCCACCAGGGCACTAACCATAAGGTCAGCAGTTTGAACCCACAAGCCTCGTCACGGGCAAAAGGATGTGGCAATGTGTTCCTATCAAGATTTACAGCCTTTGAAAGGGTCATAGGGTCACTGTGAGTCAGAATCCTCTGAACAACTAAGGTTGGTTTGTTTCGACAGAGCAAAAAACACATGGGACCGACCTCCCATTCTGCTTTTGGTTCTTGAGGGCTGTTTGTGGGATAAAGGGCCCAGCTTGAGCTGATCCAGATTATAGCTAAGAATGGAAAATACGGAGCCCCATAACACACACACACACACACCAGTGGCTCCATGGAGGAAAGTTGAGGCTATGGTTTCAGGGAAGCCCTAAAGGAGGTTGCTCTGAATCAACTTGATGGCAGTGGGTTTTTTATGCCAAGGTCTTTTCTTCCCTTTCTTTTTCATGAATGTAATGCCTCAACACCTCTAAATTGTACCCAGTGCATCTAACTCTGTATCCTGTCTGGTAAGAACAATAGTACTCGCACTAGCCCAGGAATAACAATTCCTCACATCTATGTAACACTTTGCAGCTTGTAAAGAACTTTCACACCCACCTAGTTTGGGGCTTCATGTCAACACTGAGCTAGAACAAGTATTCGGTTCTCTATTTTCAGACTGGAAAACTGAGGGAAAGGGAGATTAAGCACAGGGTAACCTGACTAGAAATAAAGAGCTTGTCTTCTGCCTTCTAAATCCAGGACAAGCCTCTTTTGATCATACCTTCTAGCTCTTTGTCCTGTTCCCAGGCCCCTTCAAAACATGTATAGCATGTGTTTCTTCCTTCTCATCGAGCTAGGAACTAAGAGACCCATCTGGCTCAAGCAGAGGTGATGTGTCCAGATAATGGCAAATAGAATTTATAGTAACTGATCATGATAACATGGCATTGGTATTCTTTATGTTTGCTTTGCAATCAAAGGGTTTTTTGTTTTGTTTTATTTTTTGTTTCTTTGTTATATGTCATAGGCTAAAGCAGCAGTTCTCAACCTGTGGGTCGCAACCCCTTTGGGGGTCGAACGACCCTTTCACAGGGGTCGCCCA